GTTCTATATTTAATTTATTGAGGAAACTTCATACTGTTTTCCATAATGGCTGCACTAGTCTGCATTCCCACTAGCAGTGTACTAGGGTTCCCTTTTCTCCACATCCTCACCAGCACTTGTCATTTGTTGATTTATTGATGGTAGCCATTCTGACAGGTGTGAAGTGATACCTCATTGTCATTTTAATTTACATCTCTCTTGGTCATCTGCATGTCCACTTTGGAGAAATATCTGTTTAGGTCTTTTGCCCATTTTTTTAATTGGATTGTTTGTCTTCCTTTTGTTAAGTTGTATGAGTTCCTTATATATTTTGGACATTAACCCTTTATAAGGTGTATCATTGCCAAATATGTTCTCCCATACAGTGAGCTCCCTTTTCATTTTGTTTATAGTTTCTTTTGCTGTGCATAAGTTTTTTATTTTGATGTAGTCCCATTTGTTTATTTACTTCTTTGTTTCCTTTGACCTAGGAGATGTATCTGCAAACATATTGCTATGAGAGATGTCTGAAATGTTGCTGTCTATGATTTCTTCTAGGATTTTTATGGTTTCATGACATATTTAAGTCTTTTATCCATTTTGAGTTTATTCTTTTGTATGGTGTAAGTTGGTAGTCTAGTTTCAATTTTTTGCATGCACCTGTCCAATTTTCCCAACACTATTTATTGAAGAGACTGTCTTGATTCCATTGTATGTTCTTGCCTCCTTTGTCAAATACTAATAGAGCGTAATGGCTTGGGTTGATTTCTGGGGTCTCTGTTCTGCCCCATTGATCTATATGCCTGCTCTTATACCAGTACCAGCTGTTTTGATTACAGTGACTTTTAGTATAACTTGCTATCTGGAATTGTGATCCCTCCAACTTTGTCCTTCTTTCTCAAGATTGCTGTGGTTATCATGGGTTATTTTTGGTCCCATATAAATTTTTATATTATTTGTTCTATATCTGTGAAATATGCATTGGTACTTTAACAGGGATTGCATTGAATATGTAGATTGCTTTGGGTAGTATGGGCATTTTAATGATGTTAATTCTACCAATCCATGAACATGGCATATTCTTGCACTTGTTTATGTCTTCTTCTACTCTTTTGTCAACATCCTGTAGTTTTCCATGTAAAAGCTATTTACCTCCTTGGTTGAAGTTATTCCTAAGTATCCTAATTTTTTTGTTGTTTTAATGGTAAATGGGATTGTTTGTTTAGTTTCTCTTTCTGAGAATTCATTATTGGTGTATAACAATGCCATCTAGTTCTGGGTGTTAATTTTGCATCCTGCTATATTGCCAAATTCATTGAGTAAATCTAGTAGTTTTTTGGTGGAGTCTTTAGGGTTTTCTATGTACAATAGCATGTCATCTGCGAATAATGACAGTTTTACTTCCTTTCCAATTTGAATGCCTTTTGTTTCTTCTCTTTGTCTGATCTCTGTGGCTAGGACTTCCAGTACTATGTTGAACAAGAGTGGTGAAAGTGGACATCCCTGTTCCTGTTCTTAGGGGAAATGTTTTCATTTTTGCCTATTGAGTATGATATTGGCTGTAGGTTTGTCATATTTGGCCTTTATTATGTTAAGATATGATCCCTCTATGTTGACTTTGCTGAGAATTTTTAATCAAAAATGGGTATTAAATTTTGTCAGATGTTTTTTCTGCATCTATTGATATGATCATGCAATTTTTGTCCTATTTGCTTATTGATGGCAAATATTGTACCAGCCTTGATTCTCTGGAATAAATCCCATTTGGTCAAGGTGTATTATCTTTTTAATATATTGCTGGATCCAACTTGTAATGTTTTCTTGAGGGTTTTAGCATCTATGTTCATCAGAGATATTGGCCTGTAATTCTCTATCTTTGTGTCTCACTATCTTTGTAGGGTCCTCCTATGAACGTAGTCAAACTAATTTCTCTGCTTTTAATCGATCTAATGTCAATCTGATTATTAGATATGCCAAAGAACCTAAAAGCGTAGAAAAAAATTTTTCCTTCTCTACATAGGTATAGATCTCTTATGGCTTTTTTGTATGATCAGTCGATGAAAGGTTTGAAAAGAGAAAGGACAACTTACAACCATGGTATTTTTATTTTATTACTAAAAATATACTGTGGTATTTATTAGCAATAGAATAAATAAGTACAGTGGGGCCTTGACTTACGAGTGGCCCGACTAACGAGTTTTTTGAGATACCAGCTGTCTCTGGTCTGGTTTTTTGCATTGAGTTGATAGAGTAATTTGAGTTAACGAGCTCCTTAACGAGCTCGGTCTCAAAACGAATTAAACTCGTAAGTCAAGGCCCCACTGTACTGTTGTTAATATAGGGCCGTTTTGATCAGTTTTCTATCCTATAAATCTTTGAAATTATTAATGCTAAATTTTGCTATCTGAATAAATTATGGGAGATTCTTTTTTTTTTTTTACACTTCCCTATTGGGAAGCATGAGACTTGGTTGGAAAGTTTGTAAGGAGGATATTCTAATAAAAGGGAAGTGTGTGGAAGGCTGCCTGCCCTGTTTATCTGAATTCCAACTTAGGGGAGTGTTGAAGGCAGCACCCCTAATTATTCTTTGACCTTTCCAAACAAGCCTGTGAGTATGCAGACCCCCGGGTGTTTACTGGAATCCTTATGCTTAATTCCTGGATGCCCTTGCCTAGAGGACAATGTAAACTTCCCAAGATTACTCATCCTACTGATTGTATCTATAGATAAAAATTCCAATAAAGGCCTGACAAGACAGGCTGTGGAGGTGGCCTGGCTTCTTCAGCTGGGCAAGCCCCTTAGTCCTCTCCCCCACAGTGAAACTGTGTCTGAGTAATCTGTTCTTCCGTCATTCGGAGATTGCTGGTCAGCCCTGGAATTTCCCTACCCTTATCGCTTTATACTTTATTACCCTATTTTTATGATTTTTATACAAGAAGGTTTAAATACAAAACAAAATGCTTGAATTTCGACACAGGGCTCCAAAAAACTACTACCATGGTGTGACAGATATATGAGGAGCTGAGCCAGAATCTGTGTCCAATGGATTTAACTTTCCTATAATTATAAATATTGGCTTTCTTTTTGTGAAATACAAAATGAACTAGATCTCCAAAGAGAACAGAAGCTTTAAACCCCGGTAAACTTTAAAAGTAAGACTTAAGCCCTAACCGATTTGGCTCAGTGGATAAAGTGTCGGCCTGCGGACTGAAGGGTCCCAGGTTTGATTCCGGTCAAGGATATGTACCTTGGCTGCAGGCACATGCCCAGTGGGGGGTGTGCAGGAGGCAGCTGATCGATGTTTCTCGCTCATCAATGTTTCTAACTCTCTATCCCTCTCCCTTCCTCTCTGTAAAAAAATCAATAAAATATATTAAAAAAATAAAAAAAATAAAAGTAAGACTTAAAAAAAAAAAAAAAAAAAAGACGGTTTCATCTTCCTGTATGTGTGTTCCAGAAATAGAGCTAATTTCCCAAGGAACACAACAGTTTAGGGTTCACTTCAGCTGCAATTTTGTGGTTCACACAGTTCATGGCAGTCTTTACCACAGAGACTAGGAAAGCCAAATGCTAACTTTCTTAATCTTACTTGTACCCAATTGTGGTTATTGTGACACAAACAGACAACTGTTGGTAAATAGGGGGAAAGTTTTTTATTTTCTGATGAAAGAGACTGCTATAGATTGAATATTTGTGTCTCATCAAAATTCATACAGTGAAACCTAATCCCCAATGTGATAATATTAGAAGGTGGGGCTTTTTATGAAATGATTAAGTCATGAGGATGGAGCCCTCATCAATGGGATTAGTGCCCTTATAAAAGAGGCCCGAGAGAGCTCCCTTGTCCCTTCAGTCATGTGAGGACATAGTGAGAAGGCAAAAATCTATGAACCAGGAAATGGTCTCTCGTCAAACATGAAATCTGCCAGTACCATGAACTTCCCAGCCTCCAGAATGGTGAGAAATAAATATTCGTTGTTAAAGCCACTCAGTCCATGGTATTTTTGTTATAGCAGCCTGAGCAGACTAAGACAGAGAGATGGATGTGGCTGATACTGTTATGCCCAGACTTCAAGATCCCCAACAGACCATGCGAGGGAGCCAGCCGTGTCCGATGCAAAAGCAAAGAGTCCTTTATTTCAAACTTGGGTCTGGCTCCCCTACCCTCCTTACTGACACAGCAGCAGGTGGCAGAGAGAGGCCTAGCCCAATGGGACGAGGAGTTTTATAGGGGGGTGGAGTAAGGGCAGGAGAGGGGACTGTGGGCCCCGCCGATTGGCCAGGCGCAAGTCAGTGTCTCGTTACACAGGATGTGGTCATATTGATGGCGTGCACTTCCCTTGATTATCATTGGTTAGTCCAGAGAAATCCTGGGTGTGGCTAGCAGAGGCTTGGGCTTCCGGGAAGAAGCCTTGCCAAGCACATGGCTCTGCCCAAAAATGGAGGACCCAGGGTAAGATGGTGGGCGTAGTCCTCGCCCTTCCAATACCACCTATTCTCCCTTTTTCTCTCTTGAACGCAGAACTTATGTCTAAAGTCCTGGCAACTATTTTTATTTTTAAATTGATTTCAGAAAGGGAGGAAAAGAGAGAGAAACCTCAATGTCAGAAAGAAACAATGATTGTTGCTTCCTGTACACACCCTGGCCAGAGATCAAACCTGCAACCTTGGTATGTGCCCTGACTGGGAATTGAACCCACAACCTTTCGGTGTATGACAGGATGCTCCAACCAACTGAGGCACACCAGCCAGGGCTGGGCAAGTATTTTTTAACTTTGAACTATGCACAAAGAGTATTTCAGGTCATTGGCCTAGACTTTAATGCCAATATTCCTTCTCTCCAAAAGTTTTGTGTGGAAAAAAATCTTATTTGAGTCACTGTTGGTTAAGTGTTCTATAATGTGCAGCCCAAATAGTAGATAACTACTAGAGGTAGTATAATACTATATAAAGCAATAATTTAAAAATACAAATCATGAATTAAACTGGTTTCCTGCCTACATAAATTCAATAAATTTTTTTTCAACAGATATTTGCAAGAGTTGATGCCCTAAAAGAACAAATATAAATCGCCACTAGATTTCACTTGAAGACTTAACTATGAAGACTCTACTTACATGGTATTGGTGATAATAATTTTCATTGAGTTATCTGAGGAAAAATACTAAAAGGATTCACAGAGTTAAAATACAATCTCAAGAAACACTGTATTCTTGCCACTGTTAAATGGAGAATGAAACAAAATTTCTTTGAGTGTTTTTTTGAACTGGTTTCAAGTATTAAAAGCTCTTCATTCCAAGATTATACTAAACATTTCCCTGGATTTTTTTAAAAAAATACATTTTTATTGCTTTCAAAGAGGAAGGGAAAGGGAAAGAGAAACACCAATGATGAGAGAGAATGATTGATTGGCTGTCTCCTGCACGCCCCCTACTGGGAATTGAGCCTGAAACCTGGGCATGTATCCTTGACCAGAATTGAACCCGGGACCCTTCAGTCCACAGGCTGATGCTCTATTTGCTGAGCCAAACTGTCTAGGGCTGAAATTTTTCATTTTTATATTTTTATTGTGTATTTTTATGTTTACCATTTTAATCTGGCCAGAATTAATTTTTAATTGTAGTGTGATGGTATGGGAGAGAGATCAAACTTTGTTATTCCAACATAGACAGTGCCCCCAACTGTATGTGGGGTTATTTATCCTTTCTTCATTTACTTGAGCTGCCACCCTTCATCACTCAGTGGTCATGTACATGTATATATGTATACAGGATTGGGCAAAAATAGGTTTACAGTTGTGAGTATGGAAAACACAGTTTATCTTGCATTACTATTTATTAATTGTATTATTTTCCATACAAATAACTGTAACCCTGCTTTTGCCCCACCCTGTATGTTTTTTGCCAAATTTGGAAAGTTTTCAGTCATTATTTCTTTGAATATTTTTTCAGCTCCTCATTCTTTCTCTTCTACTGAGGATACAGTAGTATTTGTCTCACAAGTCTATGAGGCTCTGTTTTTTCTTTTTTTTCCTCCCTCAGTCCTTTTTCTCTCTGCTGTTCATATTAAGTAAAATCTATTGGTCAAAATTCAACTTTCTGATTCTATCCTCTGTCATTTCTACTCTGCTATTGAGCCCATCCAGTAAGTTTTTATTTCAGTTATTATATTTTTCAGTTTTATAGTTTTCATTTTTTAAAAAGAAATTGGTGTCATTTAATGTGTTTTTTAATTGAGGAAGGGAGAAATAGAGAGATAGAAACATCAATGACAAGAGAGAATCATTGATTGGTGGCCTACTGCACAACCCTTACTGGGGATTAAACTTGAAACCCAGGCATGTGCACTGACTGGGAATGGAACCATGATCTTCTGGTTCAGTGGTTGGCAAACTCATTAGTCAACAGAGCCAAATATCAACAGTACAACGAATGAAATTTCTTTTGAGAGTCAAATTTTTTAAACTTAAACTATATAGGTAGGCACATTGTTATTAACTTAATTAGGGTACTCCTAAGCTGGCCTTTGCTAAAAACGTCCTCAATCTGATTGAGGTACATTCGCTGAGGTCAACCCCTTCCAACTCTCCCATCCACACTCGTGTTGTATACTTGTTTCGTCTATCTCCTTTCCGAAAACCGACTTCTGCGCATGGGCCACGAAGTTTCAATCGCACTATACGTGCGCGCCCGCACATGGTATTTCTGGAAGAGCTACACTCAAGGGGCGAAAGAGCCGCATGTGGCTCATGAGCTGCGGTTTGCTGACCACTGTTCTGGTTCATGGGTCGACACTCAACCACTGAGCAACACTGGCTGGGCTCTTGACTTATTTTTGTGGGCTGTGGTTCCAATGACAATTTAATTTTCAGAACTCTTGCAGTGCTATTCTGGTCTCCTTAGTTCACCTGGGGCTGCTGGGACTCCTGCAGTTCTCACTGCTGCCTCCTGCTGGGACCAAATACCCTTCTCTGGTCCCTGTGTTGCTAGGAGGAGATACCAGCAGGCCCCTAACGGGAGAGCAGACCCTGAGTTGCCTGATGCTGGTGGGGGTGCTGCTCAATCCCTGCTGCTCCCACGCACAGGTGAAAGGCACTTCTCTGGGCTTACCTTACTTCTGGCAGAAGGCGATGAATGGCAGGACCCACTCCCACTCTCCGCACTTCCAGGTGTTGGTGGCGTTCCCACCTCATCTCCATGGTTGCTTCAGGGCAGAGGAGAGCCTACCCAAGTCATCATGAGCCAGGGGTGTAGAAGAGGCAACGCTTTGCTCTATTCATCTTAGGTTTTTACCTGAGACTCTAATAAAAAGCAGAATAACAAGAGAAAAACAGGTTTTTGAACTCATGCAGCCCACATCACATAAGAAACCTCAGCCAAAACTAACTCAAAATGGCAGCTTAGAATTCCAGCTTAGCCGAAACCGGTTTGGCTCAGTGGATAGAGCGTCGGTCTGCGGACTGAAAGGTCCCAGGTTCGATTCCAGTCAAGGGCATGTACCTGGGTTGCGGGCACATCCCCAGTGGGAGATGTGCAGGAGGCAGCTGATCGATGTTTCTCTCTCATCGATGTTTCTGACTCTCTATCTCTCTCCCTTCCTCTCTGTGGAAAATCAATAAAATATATTTAAAAAAAAAAAAAAAGAATTCCAGCTTAGGTAGCATTCGCAACAAAAACAACAAAGTTGTAGAGAAATGTCAGAGAGAGTGGAAATCAGTTTCAGGCTTCCAAGGGCCACAACTGGGAAGATAAATATATGGGAGGAACCTCATGGAGTGAGGTTTGTTGGGGATTCCTCTTGTGCCAACTCCATGCCATCTCCAGGCTGATAAGAGTCTGTCTTCAGTAACAGGAGAATTTAAATCTTGCCTTCTCGCAGACAAGGGGGAGGTTTTCTGCCTTTGCTGCTTCTTAATTGCCTTCAGCTCAAAATAATTTTTATGTCAATGAGGCATATTTCGGTTTCCTTCAGGAGAAAAGAGGCAGGGAAATGCCAGGCTGAGTTGCCTTCTATTGGAAGAGGAAGAAAGGGAGTTACCAGCCTTGTCCTTCGGTCCCCCCTGACAGCCCTCATGGTGCCAGCTGGGTTGGAGTGATGGGTGATCCTCCCTGCTGGGTGTCTGCTGAGCTGCCCATTCCTGGTCCTTGGGCCAGAGAGAGCATGTTTTCTTGGGGCTTCTTTTTTGCTCTATGCCTGTTAGTGGTTCGAGGTCACAGTCTCTCCAGCACTTAGTGTGAGACATATGGAAGACAAAAAAAGAAAACCCAGGGAACTCGGTGCCTTATCGTTCCTTAGTCCTCAAGTCCCTAGCCAGCGTGCCTTCTTTTTCCCATTGTTCAGAGTCCTTTTAGCGTTGTCTATTTTTATGGCTTTGTTTAGAGGGAAGAGGTGCATCTAGGGCATATCTTCTTGAAGTTGCGCCTTGTTAGGGTTTGGCTGGTGATGTAGGCTGTGAAAGAATTTACAACTGACAGAAGAGATACAGAGAGAAAGTTTTACTTTTCAAAAGAGGAAAGGGCCAGTGTATTGCTAATCAATACAGGGTAAGAAACAAAGAGTAATGGCTGCTACGTGACAAGGAAGGGAGAAGGATTTGGGGCTGAAGTTAGCAGACATCAGGGGGGTTGTCTTGAAAAGTTATAGTTTGTTTGCTTTCCAGGAGACAGTCGGGCAGATGTCCTAGGGAGGTTTTTTTAATAGTATTTTTCCCAAGCCTGTAAAACACGCTTCGAGCAAAAATTGTGAAGAATTCAAAAGAGGCTTGCTTGTTTGAAGGGGAGGAGGGAAGAGAACTTTGTACTAACTAGAGACTCCTTGGTGGGAATTATCCCTGAGTTCCGAAAGTAGGGAGGAGGGGGAATGTAGCCTTGAGAGTAGCTTATCTTGTCTTGCAGTTTGAACGGAGGAGCTAACAAGCTTGGGGTTTAATTACCAGGAACTTCTCATAAATTGTGGAAGTTCAGAGTAAAGGAAAAGAAAAAGGCCTTTTTTTTCTGTCCTTACACTCCTTTTAAAGTAAGCTTTGATTTCTTCCGGCTCCTTCTCACCAATATTATCAACCTGTTGGGTATAAACACTAACCAATGGGAAACAAGGAGAGGGAGGAAGCGAGGCAGATACATCCTCCCTCTGTTTACCACTATGGACTACTCTGATGTGCAGTTCCTCCCTGCAAACCTTTTGGACTTCCATGATCTGTGGGCAAGGGCTGCCAAGCAATCTTCTGTCTTTTTGTGGCTTGTTTTGAGGCAATGGGCAGCATTGTGGTACATGGCATTACACTAGTGGCTGGCTTCCTTTCTTTCATCTGGATTTTGCATCTACCAAAATGTTACCAGCCCTCTCATTCTTGCCTTGACACCATTTTGTTTGGAGGACTTGTATTTAAGGTGTAACCTGTCTGCATCTCGCTTTCAAGCTACGTGGTGGGTATATAGATGTCAACTGAACTCTACTTTCATTCGTGGAAGTTTTGAAAGTTTAACTTCATTTTATATTGTCATGTGTCATATTCCTGTGAAGAGTCCTAGGAAGATCATATGTTTTTGTAAAAAACACATGTTAAGCAATATGTTAAATGCACTGTCCCTTTCCATTCCAACTTCTGTTGTGGAATTGGCGTGGAAGAAGGGACAGCCAAACACTGGGAGGTATCAGGAAAGCGAACCTTTATTCAAAGCAGCACTGCTGGCTCAGGGGATTCAAAGGTCCAAAGCCTGAACAACTTATACAATGAGATTTCTCCTTATATATATTCCTGAGTTTCTTTGTTTCCTAACTACCAGGCTTCTGTGGTGAACTTTCACAGCCCCACCTCCTCTCCCCAGTCAGTTAGAATGGGGAATTTAGATTGTATCTAAATGCCTAACCTGGATGGCACCTGTGACCTCGCTCTAGCTAAGCTGTTACATCCTTGGTTTAAGGCCCTTGTAAATTGGGAGTATTTAGGTAAATAGGTCTTGCAAGACCAGATAATTAAGGAAGGGGCAGTGACTTGATTATAGGCTAACAAGAATGTCCATTAGGATACTGATTAACTAGGTACAGGGTCAGGCTGCTAGCCGCCTACATTCTTTCACACTTCTTTTCACAGTAGTAGCATTGGAGTGGCTGTGGGCAT